TTGATTCTTTACCATCCTTTAGTGCTTCTTCATATTTGTCACGGTGAGTAGCAACAGGAAGCACTTTCAACTTATCTGAAGGAGGTGTGATGCATTTTGAAAGAACAGGATCATCAGCAATCAATGAGCGGTATCGCTGGGCACTGGAGGCTATTGCAGAGAGCAGATTCTCCAAAATTTCAACAACTGAAAGTGAATGCTGACCAACACTAATTTCTCTCTCAGAAAGCTGCATTGCTGTAGAAGATGGATCACAAGTAAAACTGACGCATATGGCATGAATGCTGGGAGTAACTTTCAAAACTGAGTCTGGCCACCAGAATCAGTGAAATAGAGCTAACAACGACCATCAATACTTGTTCCTTCTTTTTGATTCATTTTGCATTTTTGATAAAACTTGCGCACCCTAACAGCATCTTTCTCATTACTGTCACTAGTCAACTCTATTGTAGCTGCAGCTGAAGCACCACTAGTGACTGCAGAACTGGAAGAATCGGCAAAATCCACACTAGATTGAGTATCTTTGACACTTTTATTTTGACTCTTAGACTTTGAAGTTTCACTGTCAAATTGACCAATTCTTCTTGTACGTTTGAGGTGCTTCTTTCTAATGCTCAAATTTTTCACAGCATCTGACTGAACTGCAGCAATTACTTTTACTCCCATTTCCTCTTCATTGATTCGTTCCCAGTATTTTCCAGTCTGTCCATAGCACTTAACAGCTATGCATGGTGGTTCAATACAGTTAGTGCTGGTATTATCAGTGTAAGGCTCAGAAACAAGTAGTGATTTGAGTTTGACCAAACTCTTGCCTACTCGAGCTTCTCCTTGTACTACTGCTTTGGTGACAAAAGACTCAACAAGGCCATCTTCCATTGCTTCTTGAAGATACTTTTGATCTATGATAAACAATAGAATTATAAACAGAAGTTATAGCTCTGTACTTACCAATTTCTGCAAAAGTAGCATTTGTAGATGCTTTGAGCTTCTCAGTGACAGCAGCTACATCATCAACAGAGGTTGTGTCTTCGCTAGTCTGATTCATTCCAGCTGAGGTACTGGGAAGTGTAGAGCTCTGAGTTGTGTTCTATTTTAAGATGTAGAATAAATCAATCTGTGACTGTAAAATTGTATTAGTACATAAAGTAATATTTTTCAATATAAACCAAAGGCCATACACCATAGATGTCTCGTTTTTACTCGCATTATTGCATGTATGTTTCTGATCTGATGGTTGCTACATGTATTTATTGGCTCTGATAAGAGGTATAATTGTGTAATAATTCAAATCAACCAACGTACACAACACACATGTACATGTATATACTTTGTAATAGGTAATAAAATGAATCTCTACATTAAATCAACTGTAAAATACATGTAAATGTACCTACATATTATGCATATACATTAATGTATGATTGCATGTACATGTACAGGTACATGTATGTACATTAAAGGCAAGAGAGTGAGTAAGAATGGGTGTCTTTCTGGTGAGTTATTTGATGTATCATCTATTGTGCAAGAGAATGTGGCCAATACTTTATAAAAGTGTTTAAGAGAAAAGAATGATGAATAAAGCTTGACAATGTCCAATTAGAACATGGAAGTGTTTAAGGGCTAGTCATTAATTTTTCCTTTCTGTTACATCGATTCTAAAAATAAGCCTGTTTTATTAAGTCCTACCAACTTAGATTCCTTAATTGGACCACAATCTCAGACAAACAGGTATGCTTGTTATTCTCTATTGTATATACATGTACATGTTAATCTATTTTACTTCCTTATTTAGCTAGTCAAGTATGGTGTCTTGATCTTCTCCCCTTACTGATTGGTAACTTGGTACCCGATGATGACCCTTACTGGGATAATTTTTTATTACGACTCTGACCATTTGAGTCAATTTAAAGAGATTTATAGCAACTGTTCCATCATTACAAAGCAGCATTACCTTATTCATATTTCTGAGTGGATATAGAGCAGTAAGTTGTTTTTTGAAAAAAATAGAACATACATGTACAAGTACATGTAGCAGTATATATACATGTACATGTACATGCATAACTTGCTTTGATACATATATGTCATTAGCAAGATGCTACATGTAACTAAAATGTTTAGTTTCAATTAATTAATTATGTTTTTATTATAAGGTATGGACCACCAGTATACACTACTGGCACATGCGTTTTGAAGGGAAGCATAGCTTTTTCAAGGATCTTGCCAGTCGAATGAAGAACTTTAAAAACATTGCAAAGAGTTTAGCTCAACGTCATCAGGCTTGGATTTGCTACAATTTGCAGCTAAATGATTGTAATTCACATATCAAAATAGGAACAAGTATGTGTAGAAAGAGAGACAGAGAGAGAAAAGGGGTTTAGTTTATACAGTACACAAATCCACCTTCCTTCTACACAAATTCAGTTAGTAAGTGTCCTTATATTACTGATTGCAAAATTGGTAGTATAATATACGTGACAAGATTTTCTTCGAGAGAGACAGAGGAAGTCAAGTGAGAGTAGAGTATATCAAGCATTATGCAGTACTTTATAATGTAGTAACACAAAATTACCTTCATGTATATACATGTAGGTGTTAATATTCATTATCATGATTTGGAGTATGATAAAAACTTTAGACATGATTTCAATGTCAATAGCACTGCAGTATTGTGAAGTAGGTGTACATTACTGTTTGATGATAATTAACATATTTTGTATAGAATTTCATGGATTGAACTGAATGGTGTATTGTATAAACCTAGTGCTATCGTACTAAATGCCGGTTTTTGGTGCTATCAAGGAAATATTCAAAATTAGCAGAGATCATTTTTTTGTTTGTAATGTGTTAAATACTTTATGTTTTGTAAGTCATATACATGCATATGAAGTGAACTATTCACAAACTATAGAAATTATCGAAATTAGTCTTTTATATGACTACCATCCACTTGGATTGTATCATTCACCATTAGATAATACATTAGTGGTGTCATTAATATACCATATTGTTGAAAATTTGTCACAAAAAATTGTTAACTGTTAAAGTGTAATATAATACACACTTTAATAATGAATAATAGTGACATGATGTATGTCATAATGAGGCTTATTGAATAATCGTTATCATTGTCGGATTAGGCCTGGCACCAGGGATTGGGCAAGCACTTAAGTGCTTGTGCTTATAAGTGATTGCAATGCTTTCCAGCACTTAATCTCATGAAAGCTTGTGCTTCAGCACTTTGCTGCTTATAAGCACAATTTTAATCAAAGCATTAAGCAGACTATTTTGAGTTGGTAGCACAAAAAGTACATACACTCTCAGATATTCTAATCCAACACGTGACTATAAAATGCCACTGTGTAGCAAGTTAGCATTAGCACTCATGAAAAAGTTGTTTGGAATAGCAAAAAAGACATCTAAATGAGGAATCAATGTGTAACTTTATATACAGTTATAATTATTAAAGTGCTTGTGCTTGTGCTTAAGCACTTTAGTCATAAAAGCCATTAAAAAATAATTATGCTTTAAGTCCTTTTCAAAGTGCTTGTGCTTGTGCTTAAGCATCTGGGTGAGTGCTTGACCCCAACCCCACCTGGTACCCAGCGTAAATTCTGGCTGATATGTTGATATTGGATCAGGACATTGCCCCAAATCCTCAGTCCATGTTTGATCACCTATCATCAGTAATGATTCAGGCCTGTATCAGGACTGGTCCACGTTCCAACTCTTGGGCATGTATCATGTATTCAGTAAAAATGATGTAATGGCAGTAGAATTAATTTTGAACATTTTAAGGCGATAATTGAAAATACTTCTTAAAATCAATAATAATGATTATTAAGCAATTGAAGTCACTGTTTTCAATCAAGAGTAGAGACTGAATAATAATAATAACAATAATATTAATAATAATAATAATAATAATAATAATAATAATAATAATAATAATAATAATAATAATAATAATAATAATAATAATAATGTCTTTCTTTCACTTGTTTAATAATAATAATAATAATAATAATAATAATAATAATAATAATAAGAAGAAGAAGAAGAAGAAGAAGAAGAAGAAGAAGAAGAAGAAGGTCTGTTTGACTTGTTTAATAATAATAATGATAACAATAATAATAATAATAATAATTAGAGAGAGGAGGATGAGAGAGAGAGAGAAAGAAGAAATGAGGACAAAATGTTCACTGAAGCTCATCAAATTTAGACTGGATCAGTTGACGTAGATATCCGTGCATTAGAAAGTAGTCTTTCCCATTCCAAAAATGAAAATACTTATGTATCCCGATACCATTATAATCAAAAATATGCCAGTGTTGCGCATCAGTAAGGGCACACAACAAGGAAACTTCATGTAACTTATATTTTTCAATGATATATTTTCCATATAGGAAACATTCATTCACATCTGGCAAGGAGCAGCCGTTAATGTCGCTATGAATTAGAGGCTTTAATTCAATAATAAAAAAAGGAATGTACTCTCCCCGGACGTTCGTTCTGACCACAATGATATCCTCTTTGTACTTCGTACCTCTGACATTGAATCCACATTCCACTTTTACACCTAAAAAAAGGGTATGTCAATTTAAGTCTCCCCTTTTAACGGTGAAAAGGTACATGTAAATACATGTATACTCAGTATAGTTACAATTATAGTTTGGCTATAAGTATACATGACTCAGGGTTGAGGTCAATTACAAATTCATGATTACGATTACACCTATGATTACATGGCACTGCATGTATAGTGATTACAATTACAATTACACACCTGTCATTAAAAGTGATCACGATTACGATTACACCCCTGCCATTTGGTATGATTATGACTACGATTACGATTATGCGCCTGTATTAGATATTATAATGATATACATGTATGGAAAATTATTGCTCAAAATCAGTACTGCATCTTACAAACATGAGTTTTTTTAAACATAATATTTGATAGGGAACATCTTTCAAGCCTAAAACTTTTTCAACTCAACAGATCCACTAGATAGATGCAGGTGTTATTGTCATCAATATGCAATTAAACGAACATTTTTGAATGCCACAATTAAGGGTATGATTATAATACGATTAAAATTATCACACTTTACAAAAATGTGATTACAATTACGATTACGATTATGATTATTTTAATTTTGAAATGTGATTACGATTATGTTAAAACATATAATGATTACAATCGATGACGATTGTATCGTAATCAGCCCCAACCCTGATACATGTAGTCACCTACATATTGGAAGCCAAACACAAAATAGATTCCTATCGTATTACTTGTCTATAATCAATGACATTGGAAATGGTACTGTAATGACTTATGGGGTTCTAAACTTGTCGTATGCCAAAAAACCAAGAAACACAAACAGATATTCTATTGATCAATATACAGTACTAACAGTGTTATAGTAAAGATTATGTGGTAACCAGCTATGGTGATTACATTTTCTAAGTTGTGTCACTTTTAAAGTTTAATTTGACTTATCACACATGTAAAAGAAACTAAATTTGATAATCAGAAATAAAATATTTGTTATGTATGTACATTGTATAATACATGCACTTCCGATTGCTTAAAGCCCCAGGCAACATGTTGCTAGCAACAACTGAGGTGACTTTGATTTTGTAATAAACATTTTGCTAAGAATAAAAATCAGTTCTAATTTTGCAACAAGAGATCAAAGCAACAACAAATGTTGCTAGCAACATGTTGTCCGGGCTTCAGTCATAACACAATCATTTTAATATTACTTGAGTCTAAGCAGGAGCACAAAGGGTTGCATATAGTTTCTTTGGCTCAAGTCATAAGTACAAGCTACATGTATTTTGTATTGCTTAAACATACCTAACACCATTGCTTATAAGCATAATTCAAGCATCATTTTAAGCACTAGCTACATTAAATGGTAAGAAGTACTTCTTTTATGATTGCCATGCTGTAAGCTGTGCATTTGAGAGCAAGTGCAGGATACATCTTAAATTCTCCTTTTTAAAACATTTTGCTTGTGTTACATGCAATTAAGTTGTGAATATTTTTTAACATTTACAGTACAAGAGACCATGTATAAGGGTTTTCAAATACGTGTACATGTACATGTAGCATCCAATATATAATGGAAGTTGATATACATACATTAAGAACATGTTTATGCTCCAAATAAAATTACACAACATTGAAGAATTCTCTCCTAGCCAATAAAATTACACAACATTGAAGAATTCTCTCCTACCCAATATGAGAAA